AAACTGCACCCTTAGATAAATATTAGTAAATATATTTTGGGAAGGTTTCTATGCTTCCCTTACAGCGTAGAAGTTCTGTCCTCCCCCTACCATCCAGCCGTCCAATTTTGATCAAGAGAGCCACTCATCGTTTGATCTTAGATCTAATATCTCAAATTATTTTATTTTTAGTTTTTTTTATACAAATTGTATGGATACGAAATTTGGTACATGTCATCTTCTCATTGGGGTTCACCTTTAAAAAATATTAGAGATAATTTTTCGATAAAATATAATAATCAAAATACCCTTTGAATCTTTTAGGGGTATTTTCATTTATTTTATTGAAAATATTCTTTTTTATATTTTTTGCTAGCGCGAGTTTAATAGAAGAATGGACGTTCAAAATTTGGTGTCAAAATAGTTTATAAAAAAAATTAAAAATAAAATAGTTTAGAAACATGACATTGGGTTTAGGGCAATTTTAGCCCTCCATTCAGAATGGACGACTGGATAAAGAGGAGGATAGAACTTCTATGCTGTAGGGAAAGCATAGAAAGCTTACCCATATATTTTACCATGTTTTGGAGTTTGGATCACCAAACAATTTCACGTTCTGCAATTCCAAACGGTTTGGTTGATGGGAGCTTGATGGAGACTGGAGAACATTTACCATAAAGAGGAGGTTTGGGATATTTATCAAAATCTATCTAGCTGTTCAACTATTTCACTGTTTGCACTTTTGTAACTATTTCAAGTCATGTTCATATGTATTTTGATGACATTTTGAAATTAAAATACAATATATATAAAATATTAAATAGTTTAGTGCTTGGATTTATTGCGATAAATTTTCCGTAACTTTACTACGAAGTTATATACCTTGACTAACGAACAAAGATAATTGGCCATGTTTGGAAATACAAAAACGGTCTTATGTGTGAGATCGAGAGCTTTTTTTTTGTTTTTTTTGAAGGATATAAATTCTACGTAGGCAAGCCCAATTAAACCTATATGAAACCTTCATTGTCCAACTTAGTTAGATGGTGGAGATAGTATGGCCATAGTGAATCTAGGCATAGGTTTTATATGGGTCATACATGACATAAGTTACCCTTTTTTAATATATATAGGGAGAGAGCTTTCAGCTCTCAATTCTTAAAGGAGTTTTTAATTAGTAAACAAAAACTTGAGAGTGAGAGTCCCTCTCAAGAGTTAAGAGGGATAGGCATAGCAATGGGTCAGGACTGGGTTGGGCGGGGCTTTGGCCAAAGCCCAATCTGTGTCTCCATAGGGCTGGCCCTGACCTGGAGGGGCCTAAACTGAATCAAAGGAGCCTTGGGCCAACCTTGGGTAGATCTTGGTTGGGGCGGGTTGGGCATAATAAAAATAATAATAAATATTTTAAAAATTAATGGATACTACAATGCCTTGCAAGGTGACCCTGCCTCAGATTTGCCTTGGCCCAACCCTCGGGCCACATTTTGTGGCCTAGGCCCTACATATTCAAGCCCGGGCTGATAGGGCTGGACCAGGCCACCCGGCCCATTGCTGGCCATAAAGAGAGAGAGAGTCTCAAGATTTGAAAAAAGAAAAGTTTGTCTCAAATACTTACAAGTTGTTTTCAATTACTCTTTGGGAGTCTTTTTACAAGGGAAATTTATTCAATTATTTATGAGAGATAAACTATTCAACATTTTATTTATATTTTTTAATTTAATTTAAAAATACCTCATAAAAAAATTTCTTGGTCATAAGTTGGGATGGTTACAAACAGATGCAATATTGAAAAGTTAATCTCTTATAAGTATTTTAATAAATAAAGCATTCCTACCGTGCTCCAACGGAACATAGTAAACATCTACTCCCCAAGTTAAAAGATCCACTTGGTAGGTTTGAAATTTGATAATTTAAGAGCTACTTAAGAATTATTAGATGATTATTTTTAAAAGAAAAAATTAAATTTTGGGTTTTTTAACACTTAGGTCTTACCTCTCAAAAAAATTGAACAGTTTCTATTTAATCTTAAGATATTATCTTTTTCAGGTATACACAGGGTGCAATTATAAATTTTTTTATGGACATAGTTTTCATGAGTCTTGAGACTCTCAAAGATACAACCATTGGTCCATTTTAAAGATGGATCTTAAATTTAATTTTATGGGCATATATAATCTCTAACATATAATATTATAAAAATAAATTATTAAAACAAATAATAATAATTTTTTCAAAAACTATATTGACCATTAACTTTTAAGTTTTAATTTTATTTAGGGAACTATCAATCTACATCCATCTTAAACGTAGACGTGTGATGACGCAAATACAGTTATGCGCCCCCCATATGACACTTTTCAATTGGATACCACCCCTAAAGAATATGCTTTCCTTGCGACGATGGCAACATTATAAAATTGTAAATTTTAAAAATAATTAAAATTAAATAAATATATAAACATATATAAATCTTGAAAATAGATAGTATAGATAATATATTGTAAAATATACTATTTTTTAGATTTAATTTTTTTTTATTTTTCATAGTCATGCATCTCAATGTCGAAATGATCAATTAAAAGGTTTTTCAATATTAAAACTACTTTTTTGAATGAATTTTTGATGTGCATCGATAGTTCTACATGGTGCATCCTTATTTAAATTTTTTCCTTAAAAATTTTTTTTTTTAGAAAAGGCGTAGAGAGAGAATATTCGAGAAAAACTTGATTCCCAATCGCCCCCTTAGCTCCAAAGGATATTCCCATGTGGAAAATATGCCGACCTTTTCTCTCTCTTAAATGTCGGCTAATGGCTTCCGCTCTCTAGCGTTGCACAACTCAAACCCTAAACCCCAATGCCGCTCTCTCTCTCTAACACCAGGTGGCACCGTTTCTCCTTTCTTTCTCTCTCGAACGCTAGTTCTTGCCATTGCTCCTCTCTCACACCAACCCAGAAAACCCTAATTTGCTCAATAAACGCGTTAAGCAACCTCCCTAAAACCCTTGTTTTCTTTTAAGCAATGTCAGCCACTGGCCATTGCTAGAGCTTCTTTCTGTGGGAAACTTTTTCTGGTGAGACATGCAAACTGAAGCGGCAGCTGAAACCAGGCTTCACCATGGCTCCACCTCTGGCCGTGTTGGAGTGATGGGGGTTTCATCTAAGAGAGCTCATCTACATTCGCCGTCTCAAACCCTAAATTCTGCAAATTTAGGGCAACATGGAGGTGTGGATTCAGGAGTGAAAAAGTATGCTCAGTCTGTTCAGCAATCACAGATCGGCACTGTGTCTCAGCTCCTTGCAGGGGGAATAGCAGGGGCAGTGAGTAAGACCTGTACTGCTCCTCTTGCTCGCCTCACTATTCTCTTTCAGGTTGGTTCAAACGCTTTCTCTCTCTTCTTCTTCCAGTTATCACTTTGGTTTTCCTGATGGATTTTCGAAGTTATCAAGTTTTGGGTTTAGAACGTGTTTAATATTTCATTGGTTGAAGTCTAGCCTTTTTCTTTTTCTTTGATCTGGTTAATTTTGTTGCATAAAATCAATAGATTATAATCGATCATGTTGCATAACAAAAAGGCATCCCACGAGCTAGGTGCTCAGACTACAGGGGGAGATAATATATAGAACACTACTTCTAAAAGTGAGGCAGTTTGTTCAAGGGAAAAACTTCGTCTGTGAAGACTGCCAAAGAAAGAGGGAGGGGGGGGAAAAGCGGTAGGTAAAGATGGTTCATTGGAGAGGGGAGAACTGTTAAGATATTGTGGTGGAAAGTCCGTTGGTAAACTCCTCGAGGCTGAAGTGGCCCATTCCGCGCATTAGGTGACTCTGAGCTTTGAGAGGTCGCAGGAGCCTTGTTATGGGGTTGGTAAGGGCAAGCTTCCTTGGTTGAGGTTTTTAGAGAGAGAGGAGAGTGGATAGCATGGGAGGTCCAGAGAGCGAGAGCGAGAGAGAGAGAGAGAGAGAGAGAGAGAGAGAGAGAGAGAGAGAGAGAGAGAGAGAGAGAGAGAGAGAGAGAGAGAGAGAGAGAGAGTAGTAGTAGTAGTAGTACGTTACGTTACGTTACGTTACGTTACGTTACGTTTACGTTACGTTTACGTTTCGTTTACGTTCGTTACGTTACGTTACGT